AGCATAGTGTTCAGTGCATGGCAAATTCCAGTTTTGCCTTCTGGAATTTTCCCCCCCAAATATTTTCAATCTGTGGTTGCTTGATTCATGGTCATGGATGCAGAGCTCAGGGATGCAGAAAACTGACTGTATTAATTTTGCATTTCAGTTGGTCTGCTTTTTCTGTGTCATATTGATACATATGGATATGGGTCAGTATTGGAAAATATCAGTAGCTTGCACTTTCATGTTTTGTGGTTTTTATATTCCTCTTCAAACCTACCACACGTATGTGGCACTATTTCCTTACTTGTTTAAAGCTTAAAGCATAAGTCCAGTTAGCTTAATCACAATGTTAGGGTTATGATGCTAGGTAGATAGCTTTAATTCATTTGAAGATCAGTTATTTTGTTTTATTCTATGGCCTTAAGTGGTACTAAAATGTCATGCTCAATGAGATAGTATGGCTAGAGGGGCAAAACCTGTCTTGACTATAGCAAAAGACCACACAGATACTCCTGAGTGCATGTTCTACTTTGGGGACAGAGTGGTAGTATTTCTGTGTGAACATCTGCACTTTGAAAGTCTATACTGAAAGAAGAGTCAATATTTATATTGATGTTAGCTATTCATCGCCTCACTTCCACAGATACGTCAACTTGAAGCATATTCAATGTGTGGAAACCCAAATTTATAACAAAATAAATAAGGGAATGTATTTTTCAGCCCAGAAATTTCTTTATAGTTCAGAGGAGTTTCTTTAAATAGTATGATTCCATATTGTATGGTAGAACACACACACATACACACATATGTGTATTACATATGTGCTATATATTTTATGTATATACTATGTATATTCATTTACATACAATTCTAGACAGTGAAGTATAATTGCAATTATGTTCACTACCTGAAGATGCAGTGTTTTATGTTTTGAAATGACTGAATTAATAAACATTGGTAGAAATTAACTCATTATGATTACACTGTATTTCTTAGAGTTTTCACAGTTAATTAAGGACATTTTTTTTTCAGAATCAAAACAGTCAGTTACAAAAATATTTCAGCTTTTTCAATTACAGAAGTTAGTCATAATACACATTTAATTGATTTTACATAATCAAGGCTGATTTACTATTAAGATCAGTTGTCACTATTTGCTTATTAAGCATCTTCTAATCGTAGTTAGTGACAGCCAGACAACTTTTAAATATAACCAAGAAAATGTTTATCAATAACAACAGTTTAATTGTTTAAACTTCATGCTTTTGTTGTTTTATAAGTTCTTTTAGAATACATTTACTTGTGTAAGGAATTGTTAATCATAAATCTGAAACATAAGCTTCTTGTTCCTGCTGCTACCTTCTTGGATCATTCAAACTCTGACTGAAATCTCTGTGGATCTCTCAGTTCAGCAGAATCACGTCCGACTTTGCAACCCCATGGACTGCAGCACACCAGGCCTCCCTGTCCATCACCAACTCCCGGAGATTGCTCAAACTCATGTCCATTGAGTCAGTGATGCCATCCAGCCATCTCATTCTCTGTCGTCCTCTTCTCCTCCTGCCCTCAATCTTTCCCAGCATCAGGGTCTTTTCCAATGAGTCAGTTCTTCTCACCAGGTGGCCAAAGCATTGGAGTTTCAGCTTCAGCATCAGTGCTTCCAATGAATATTCAGGACTGATTCCCTTTAGGATGGACTGGTTGGATCTCCTTGCAGTCCAAGGGACTCTCAAGAGTCTTCTCCAACACCACAGTTCAAAAGCATCAACTCTTTGGTGCTCAGCTTTCTTTATGGTCCAACTCTCACATCCATACATGACCACTGGAAAAACTACAGTTTTGACTAGATGGACCTTTGTTGGCAAAGTAATGTCTCTGTTTTTTAATATGCTGTCTAGGTTGGTCATAGCTTGTCTTCCAAGGAGCAAGTGTCTTTTTATTTCACGGCTGTGGTCACCATCTGCAGTGATTTGGGAGCCCAAGAAAATAGTTTGTCACTGTTGCCATTGTTTCCCCATCTATATGCCATGAAGTGATGGGACCAGATGCCATGATCTTAGTGTTTTGAATGTTGAGTTTTAAGCCAGCTTTTTTACTCTCCTCTTTCACCTTCATCGAGAGGCTCTTCAATTTCTCTTTGCTTTCTGCCATAAGGATAGTGTCATCTGCATATCTGAGGCTATTAATATTTCTCCCTGCAATCTTGATTCTAATTTGTGCTTTATCCAGCCCAGCATTTTGCATGATGTCCTCTGCATATAAGTTAAACAAGCAAGGTGACAATATACAGCCTAAATGTACTCCTTTCCCAATTTGGAACCAGTTCATTGTTCCATGTCTGGTTCTAACTGTTGCTTCTTGACCTGCATACAGATTTTCTCAGGAGTCTCTGAAGGAGTCTATTCCTACTGCTCAGGAGCCTATTTAGGGTGGAGTTTGCTTGGAGAGAATAGGCCATTCCTTCCATCCCCACCCAGGAAACAAGCCTGCCTAGGAGCACTGGCCTCAGTGCTCTGAAATTCTACTCACTTCTCTAGGGTTTTCTCTATACATAACAACACTCTGTGCCTTCCTGATGATGATCCTTTGCCAGGTTTTCCCTTTTCCTTAAGACCTGTTTCCTATGCAAGACCATATGGTATTATAGAAGACAAATTTGAAGCATTAACCTGGGTTCTTGCCACCTCATCTGTAACTCACTTTTATAATAATGATGCCCTTGGATTGGAGCATTTTAAGAAGTATCTAGATAAGAGTAATTATTAGGGATTGCATTTATACACACACATACACACACACGCACACACATTTTTGTTAAACTGTATCTGAAGTCATAGACATCACACTTGTGAAAATTTCAAGAATAAACCCAAAAAGCAATAAAAATATCTTGATAGTTTCTTTTATTTAAGTTTTAAAGACTCACGTAATACAAAGAGAAGTCTGCAAGCGACAAAAATGTAGCCGAAATGCTAACCTAAGTAAAAACTTTTAGAGTACTAATTAATAAAATTGCATTGAATTTAGAAAATGAATCATTATAAAAGGGTCTGAATGTACAAAGTTCATGCTACTACTGATAGTGAAGCAAGCATACAGAATCCAACATGGAAATTATTCATTTTTATCAGATAATACCCATTTAATTTAAAACTGACCTGTGACTTTCCAATATGAATACAATTATATTTAGTTTTCATGTTTCTTTAGTTAATTGTGTAATAAAATGTGACCAAACCTTTAAAATGCCTTTCTTGCCCTCTAATGCAACTGACTGAAATCAGTGGAGGGTTTTTGAAATAAATAAATAAATCTGTGTAAGTCTTAAAAGAAGAGGATTCTAATGATTTTCTTGTGCTCAGTTAACTGACCTCCTTTAGGAATTTATTTTAGAAAGAGATGGCAGTAAGATTTACTGAGAAGCTAATTCGTGTTAGGGCTTCCCTGGCGGCTCAGACGGTAAAGCATCTGCCTGCAATGCGGGAGACCTGGGTGCAATCCTAGGTGGGGACGATCCCCTGGAGAAGGAAATAGCAACCCACTCCAGTACTCTTGTTTGGACAATTCCATGAACTGAGGAGCCTGGTAGGCTATAGGCCATGGGGTCACAAAGAGTCAGACACAACTAAGTGACTTCACTTTGTTTCCTTTCATTTTAATTCATGTTAGACCCTCTAATGGAGCTTTCATACATATTTTCTCAGTTGTGATATGATGATAGAGGTAGAAGAAATTGTCAGGATTTCTAGAGGTTCCCAAACTCACATGTCCTCAGACCCTTAGACCCACATGAAACAAACTGTTGGCACTGTGGCAAATCCTCAAAATCTGCTTCTCAGATCCAATGGACTCTCTTTCATGACAGAATGCAGGTTTTAGGGTGCTAGATCTTTGTATTTGTCTAAGAGGAACAAGAAATGTGAGATCTCGTTTGCTTGGCCAGCTCCAGATTTAAAAGTACAGAAATAAATGATGTATGAACCAAACAAAAGATTTCCACAAGCTAGGTTTGATTGTCTGGCTTCTGGTTTGATCTAGCCTTATGTCCTTGAATATGAGACCGAGATTGGTTATGGAGTTTGCCTGCAGGCAGCTGCTGTCTGTACCAGAGGGGACCATGACCGTGACCATGGACTCCATTTCTACTGCCCACCAGTCCATGCTTTTGTATAACACAAAGCAGAAGTTCTTAGGTCATGGAGAATGAGTGAGATTGAATATTGCCAGGAAAAGACTAGGTACATTCATAAGCCCTTTCTAGCCGTAACCTATGAAAATCATGCCAAACTCAGGCAACATTTTCCAAAATTAAAAAAAGAAAAGACGTTATCTTTTGCTAAAATTTTTTATATAATTTTTATGGTTGTGTGGACTTTTAATTCTCATTTTGATTATTAAAACAGCAATACTTTTTATCATTATGATGATGTAAAGTTAGGTAATTTAATGCATGGCCATCTGGAGAAGGAAATGGCAACCCACTCTGGTATGCTTGCCTGGGAAATCCCATAGACAGAGAAGCCTGGTAGGCTACAGTCCATGGGGTCGCAAAGAGTCAAGACACAACTTAGCAGTGAAACAATAACACGTTCTTTTGGGCAGTTAAAAGAAAAAAAACGCCTATGAAATATAAGCCATCCCCAGGGTATTAGTTTTTAGTTTTACCTCATTAACAAAGAGTTAAAATTCAGATCTTTCTGTGGCATATGCCATGGTAACTTCTAATCCTGAAGTTAATTCTAAAATAATCTGGAGCAATCCTGATGCTTTTAAATATGAAAATCTGCACAACCCACACAGCAAGATTTAAGAATTTTACTATAAATGGGAGAAGCGTGAGCATGCTTAGAGGTCTGACATCAGGATGAGCACTGGGTTTGGGAATAGAGAGGGTAGGTACACTTGCTAAGCTCCGCATTCTCAAGAACACACGGGGGCTATCCTGAGTATTCCAGAGTACCTTCCCAGTGTTCCACACAGGATCCAAATTACAACCTTTTGGAAATGTGAAAAACATGAAGTCAGCTACAGAGATTATGAGACCAAAGACATGGCGCTGTTGGCTTGTCACAGGGTAAAAATGACACTTTTCTCTTAAGACAGGAAATGAAGTTCAAGAATGTTAAGTGTCACAGAGATCTTATTATGACTATGCTAACCCTTTACCCCTTCTCACAACCATTCCCATAGAGATAAATTCTGCCACATCAAACCAATCTGCTGAGACCTACATGGTAGAGACCATTCTAGGCATCTTGTCCAAACCTCTGGAGAAACTTACCTAATTAAATCTTCAGCATAGAGCGGAATGCTTAAAATCCAGGCTCTAGAAAGAAATACTATAAGTGAAAGTGAAGTCGCTCAGTTGTGTCCGACTCTTTGCAACCCCGTGAACTGTAGCCCACCAGGCTCCTCTGTCCATGGGATTCTCCAGGCAAGAATACTGGAGTGGGTTGCCATTTCCTTCTCCAAGAAATACTATAAAACTGTGTTTATTATGAAAATATTAAATTTCAAATTTAAATGCAAATTTTATTGGTCAGTATACATCATGCCCCTAAAGTAAGGCGTAAGCCTCCACTTGTTATCCTTCACACTTCTAGAAGATAGGCAAGTGGCCAAGAAAATTCAGACAAAGGGAAGTTCAGGGACTTTCACAATGTAAATCTGTAATAACTCTCATAACAAGTCTACTTACATCCCTGTAATGCATTTAGCAGCCTAATGATTAAAATATAGACATTTAGCAGTAATGGGATTAATGTTCATAATATTAGATTCATGAGATTAATATTACATTAAAATTTATAGATATGTTTGAAGTGGTAATTTATAAAATTTTAATTATATAGGTAGCTCACTTTGTATATTCTGTTTTGCCTCATGATCTTAATATATAGATTATTTTAAAATATAAAATACTTTTCACATATCTCAGAAGCTTAAAATTTGTCAGTATAAATAGTGTTTTATGCAGTTAAAGGTTGCTTTTCATATTATTTCATTAATATTAACATTGCAACAGTATTAGATGGGGGAACTTGGTAATTAGTTCAGTTCTCACTCTTGTCTTAGAGCATTTCTTCTCAGGTAGTGTCATGTGATAGACACATTTGTCCTCTTCTAATGGATTTTCCAGTACTCTGAACCAAAAATCTGGACATGTGTTTTATCACACACAGAACTATGCTTGCCATTTTGGTTTTAAATCCTTAAATTTTCCCAGTACAGTTGCATGCACATTTTCTTTTTTATAATTACTGATGCAAGGTCATGGTATACATATGTTTTTCTAACTTGCATGTTTAATCTATATATTCTGTTGATATTTCCACATCATTAAAAATTCTTTTATAACATTTAAATGTTTGAATGATATTTTATTATATAATGAACTATAATTTATTTAACAATCTTGTTGATTTTTTCTCTTTAAAAATAGAATCCATGTAGCTAAAATTTTGTATATATACACAACCATTTCATAAGAATAAATTTCTAAAAGTGTGATATGTTAAGGAGAGTATAAAATCTTGACATGTTTACAGAAAAGTATGTTACATGATCATATACTTTAGGACATGTACCCGTGTCCCTAAACACTCAATAACAAATTGTATTAATGGTATTATTACTAGTCCTTTGTTGATATAACAGGAAAACAGTGTCCTGTTGTTTTAATGTACAATTCTTTGGTGATCACTGAGGCTGAAAAATTTTTTGTACATTTTTGCTTATCTAAACAGAGAGACATGGGGGCAAATTTTCCTAAATGTCAATAAGTAACCTTGCACAGAAAATATGAATTCTATCATCTTAAATGGGCCAGATTCCTCACTCTAGCTGTACATGAATGACATTAAATTTGTAGAAATATAATATTTAGTTCATTTCATGAAGGGGACAGATCACTCAAAAACTTTGATCAAATTTCCATTTTAAAATAAAGAATGTTAATAATCAATCTAGTGAAAAGTTGTGTCAGTAAGTATGACATCTAAGCCACAAATATTTAGATGATTTTCTTTTCTCTGCAATAAATCATGTGAAATAGACACCTTATTAAAGCTGCATGTTTCCTTTAATGAGGCATTAAATTTTGAATGTATTTAATCTTTTTAGTATTTTTGCATTTAGCTTCCTTTTTAAAGGTAATTCAATTCAAAATATGACTTGAATTGGAATTATTTTTTTATTTATTGCTGGTTTTCAAATCCATATTAAATGATCATTTATATGATGTGTGAAATGTTTCTTGAAACAGATCTTTAAGATCAAAAAACTTAAAATGTTATTGGCAGGAATTTGGACATATTAAGATTGCGATAACCATTGCTGTGTAACAAAGTGCTCCAACCTCCAGCTGTTTTCCAGCTGAAAACAGCCAACTCTCACTATCTCATATATTTTCTAGGAATCAGGAAGCCAGAAGCATATTCAGAGGGTGGTGTGGCTCAGGTTCTCACATGAGGATGCAGTGAAGCTGTTGGCTACAGTTCTACTTTCTGAAGACTTGACTGAGGCTGAAGGATCTACTTAAAAAAAAAAAAAGAAATGTATTTGATGTGCAATATTGTGTTCGTTTCTGGAGTACCACATAGTGATTCAGCATTTACATACATTGGGAAATGATCACATTAAGTCTAGTAACTATCTGTCCCCATACAAAAGTATGATAATATTATTGACCATATTCTTTGTGCTATATGTTAGATCCTGGAGGTTTATTTATTTTGATGCTGGAAATCTTTACCCCTATATCCCCTTCATCTATTTCACCCAATCTGTCACCACTCCTCTCCCTCCTTGCAACCACTCTTTTATTCTCTGTATCTATGAGTCTGCTGAAGGATCTACTTCTCAGCTCCTTCACAGGAAGGTTGCTGAGGACAGACATGGCTTCTCCCAGAGTGAGGGATCCCAGAGACAGAGTGAGCAGGGAGGATGAACGAGAAGGGGAGGGGAGTGTTTATTAGAGTAAATAGTATTACCTTGTAACATTTACCATAGCTATTAATCATAGGTTAAAATAAATGATGTCCACATTAAGCTGCTGCTGCTGCTGCTGCTGCTAGGTCACTTCAGTCGTGCCCGACCCTGTGCGACCCCATAGACGGCAGCCCACCAGGCTCCTCTGTCCCTGGGATTCTCCAGGCAAGAACACTGGAGTGGGTTGCCATTTCCTTCTCCAATGCATGAAAGTAAAAAGTGAAAGTGAAGTCGCTCAGTCGTGTCCAACTCTTTGCAACCCCATGGACTGCAGCCTACCAGGCTCTTCTGTCCATGGGATTTTCCAGGCAAGAGTACTGGAGTGGGGTGCCATTGCCTTCTCCGCAACATTAAGCATATCAGAATGTATCAGTTTCTTTTAACTGTGCATAGCCTTACCTTAGCACTCTGTATTACATAATCTTTACATGGCTAAACCTAAGTGTACTTTCAAAGAATTTCCTCCTCTTGTGCCTTAGCATTCCTAAAACTCAGACCCCAGATTCTCCCTCCATCTACCTCTCCCTCCATCAGTGTCCAATATTATATCAAAAAGATGGTAGGGTCTTGGAGGAAGGAAAACCCAGAGCTTACAGGAACCTCAAACACAGTCTCTGCGCTTTAATAGAATAATGCTAGTAGCAATGACAAGATTCCAGCAAGCCTGGGCTCTGCGCCTCCACAACTGCTCCTTTAGCACAAGAGACAGAGCAGCTTTAACTGAGAAATGTGGCAAGGAACCAAGGGGTTAAGAATAGTCCCAAACTTCAAGTCCTTGAGGAAGTGATATGCTCTCTCCTGGATGGGCTTTGTCCAAGTGCTTTGTTAAAAATAAACCAACATGGAAAAAACAACAAAAAAGACTCCAAATTCTTCATTTTGTCAAAATAATTCAGCTTCAGTGTTTTCTTTTTTAAATCAAACTCCTTTGTTTATTTTAAATAAAATGAAACAAGTAGGTTATCATTTTAAAGAAATGCCTCATTATTTTCTTATGTAATTAGTTAGTTGCTTTATATACATTGCCTCATTTAATATTAGTATCTTAATTTGTAATTCTCACAAGATCCTCTTTGCACAACCCTGTATCCATTTGAAAGATAAGGAAATCCACATCTGAAGAAGAAAATCAGCCCATCAAAATTAAAACTTCAAAAAGGGACTCAAAGTTGAAGCTTAGTTTTTTTAACTGAGGTTTACTTTTTTAGAGTTGAATAAATTAGTGTTCAGTCAGTTCAGTTCAGTTGCTCAGTCGTGTCTGACTCTTTGCGACCCCATGAATCATAGCACGCCAGGCCTCCCTGTCCATCACCAACTCCCAGAGTTTACTCAAACTCATGTCCATTGAGGCGGTGATGCCATCTCATCCTCTGTCGTCCCTTTTTCCTCCTGCCCCCAATCTCTCCCAGCATCAGGGTCTTTTTCCAATGAGTCAACTCTTCGCATGAGGTGGCCAAAGTACTGGAGTTTCAGCTTCAGCATCAGTCCTTACAGTGAACACCCAGGACTGATCTCCTTTAAGATGGACTGGCTGCATCTCCTTGCAGTCCAAGGGACTCTCAAGAGTCTTCTCCAACACCACAGTTCAAAAGCATCAATTTTTTGGTGCTCAGCTTTCTTCACAGTCCAACTCTCATATCCATACATGACCACTGGAAAAATCATACCCTTGACTAGATGGACCTTTGTTGGCAAAGGAATGTCTCTGTTTTTTAATATGCTATCTAGGTTGGTCATAGCTTGTCTTTCAAAGAGCAAGTGTCTTTTGATTTCACAGCTGCAGTCACCATCTGCAGTGATTGTGGAGCCCCCCAAAATAAAGTCTGACACTGTTTCCACTGTCTCCCCATCTATTTTCCATGAAGTGATGGGACCAGATGTCATGATCTTAGTTTTCTGAATGTTGAGCTTTAAGCCAACTTTTTCACTCTCCTCTTTCACTTTCATCAAGATGCTTTTTAGTTCCTCTTCACTTTCTGCCATAAGGGTGGTGTCATCTGCATTTCTGAGGTTATTGATATTACTCCTGGCAATCTTGATTCCAGCTTGTGCTTATTCCAGCCCAGCGTTTCTCATGATGTCCTCTGCATATAAGTTAAATGAGCAGGGTGACAATATACAGCCTTGACGTACTCCTTCTCCTATTTGGAACCAGTCTGTTGTTCCATGTCCAGTTCTAACTGTTGCTTTCCTGACCTGCATACAGGTTTCTCAAGAGGCAGGTCAGGTGGTCTGGTATTCCTATCTCTTTCAGAATTTTCCACAGTTAATTGTGATCCACACAGTCAAAGGCTTTGGCACAGTCAATAAAGCAGAAATAGATGTTGTTCTGGAACTCTCTTGCTTTTTCCATGATCCAGCTGATATTGGCAATTTGATCTCTGGTTCCCCTGCCTTTTCTAAAACCAGCTTGAACATCTGGAAGTTCACAGTTCACATATTGCTGAAGCCTGGTTTGGAGAATTTAGAGCATTACTTTACTAGCGTGTGAGATGAGTACAATTGTGTGGTAGTTTGAGCATTCTTTGGGATTGCCTTTCTTAGGGATTGGAATGAAAACTGACCTTTCCAGTCCTGTGGGCACTGCCGAGTTTTCCAAATTTCCAGCACTTGCACAGCATCATCTTTCAGGATTGAAATAGCTCAGCTGGAATTCCATCACCTCCACTAGCTTTGTTCATAGTTATGCCTTCTAAGGCCAACCTGACTTCACATTCCAAGATGTCTGTCTCTTGGTGAATGATCACATCATCGTGATTATCTGGGTCTTGAATATCTTCTTTGTACAGTTCTTCTGTGTATTCTTGCCACCTCTTCTTAATATCTTCTGCTTCTGCTAGGTCCATACCATTTCTGTCCTTTATTAGTGTTATAAGTATTTAAAAAGTTAAGATGATGTTTACATGAATAGAATATTAGATCATCCTAAGATCAACTAAAACTGAAAGTATAAATACTACCATTTGGAGGTTATATCTGAAATGATTTGTTTCATGAATCCTCTTTCCTACAGGTACTTTGATAATTCCTTCTCACTTAAGACTTAATTAGGACTGATATCATGTCATGGTTGCAAATGGTCCTGTTATGACTTTAATATGGCTTATTTTCTTGTAATATTTATTTCCATTTTCTTCAAAGAACAGACATAACTGATTATATAACTTTATTTTTCTAGGTCCCCTAAAAACCCAGAACAGAAGATCATTAAGAGAGTGATTGCTCTTGAAGGAGATATTGTAAAGTAAGTACTTAAGCTATGGTTTTTGAGTTCAGGATATAAATGTCTAGATTTTTTTCAGTTTTAAATCACGTTACACAGAATGTATATCTCAGTCTAGAGAGGTGTATTTCATGGCTTCAAATCTTTGAAGATTTTCTAAATGAATTACTACATCTTTAGTGAGTATCATCAATCATTTGATAGGATATAATACATCCATAAGCTGACTGATGGTACTCTTATCCTTTACTGGGAGACACATTTTAAATAGATATTAATTAAGATGAAATTAACCACATTTTGTCAAATGACCACTAAATAACTATATTTCATATATTTAAATTAGCATCATTTTTTCAGATTATGATGTCAAGTTTCATTTTAGAAAAATTCAATAATACTTTATTATTTTAGAAGCAAATACAGAAACAAAAGGGGAGATTTTATTATAAGAAGGATGGGGAAAGATGTAAATGAATGTGAAACGGAAACTTCTGAGTCAGTGACAAAAGCAGTAGCTTTAGAACATAACATTGGGACTTTACTGGCAATCCAAAGGTTAACAGTCCATGCTTCTATACAGGGGGCACAGGTTTGACCCTGGTCAGCTAGCTAAGATCCCATAGAACACTTGGCCAAAAGAAAAGAAAATAACATTTTAACAATCAGCTGTTTTAACAATATGTAATAATGTTTTATTTATTCTGCTTGCTGATAAATATAGAATAATGTTTGAGATTCAACAAGTAAATACTGATGTAGTGTGCAATGTCTCATATTGATTGGTTACTTTATTATATGTTACAGCCAAGTCTATACAATGTGGGATTCACTATGCTTTGAAACTATGTTTAGAAAGTTTTTTGATCCTGTTTTCCCAAAAAGCTTGATCCTAGGCTATTTGTATTAATGACAGTACAGTTTAAGCAATCTCATTAAAATGATCTAGAGTAAAATCTCGACCAGCAGTTCTCAAAGGATGGCCCAAAGGGCACTGGGAGTTTCCAAGACCCTTTGTGAGGATCTTTGAGATCAAAACTACTTTCCCTGTAATACTAAGATGTTATTTGCTTTTTCATTATCATTTCTCTTGAGTATACAGTGGAATTTTCCAGAGGTTGCATAATATATGATATCGCAGCTGACTGAAAGCAGAAGTAGATATGGGACTGTGGCTGTCTTCTTTAAGCCAGATACTAAACAGATTGGCAAACATGTTTGAAAAAAAAGCCTCCCTTCTCACTATTTTTTCTCTTGTTTTGAAAAACAACCGTGCTTTTCATTCAACTTGTTCTTTTTGTTAACATACAGGCTTATTATTGTTATTTTATATTGAGTAACTAAAGATATCTAGAAATTCTCCACTATGAATTCTAATATGATAAATATTGACAGCTAGTATCCATGTAAACAAAGGTTCTTCAAGACCTCAGTTATTGGCATATGATGTGCTTGGTCTGTATTCATGAGTATTTGTTTGGTCTTTTTTCCTTCTAAAATCCTTGTTGTTCAGTCACCCAGTCATGTCCTTATTGAAGTATAATTTTTATGCTGTGCAATTCACCCACTTTATAAATATACTGTGCAGTAATTTTTAACATAAATCTATACAGTTGTGCAACCCTCACCATAATCTAGATTTGAAACTTCCTATCTTTCTATCGGTTAGCCTTTTCTAGAAATTCTACTTACATTTTAATATATGTCGTCCTTTGTATCTGGTTACTTTCACTCAGCACAGCATTTTTGTTGGTTTCTTCATGTTGTGCATCTATAGTTTATTCCTTCATATTATTGATTAAGTTTGATTTCATGAACATACAACTCTATGAGTATATTCAAATCAGTGAGTTCCACTTTTTAAATGGGTAAATTATATGAGTTACATCTCAATAAAGCTATTTTAAAAACAAAAGAATTGATCAACAAAGCAGGGAAACTTTCATCTATGTAATATAACAGGATTAGGAATGGCAAGGGGCTCATTTTATAGTATAATTCAAAGAGAACACAACTTTAATTCAGATGTAATATTATTGGTCACTAGATAACTAGTCCACAACGTGAGATTGCAAAGCTTGGTTGGACATTAAAAAATAAACAAGCAAAAAAACAAAAAAACCTGTGCAATCAGAAGCCCTACAACAGACCTTTCTGAAAAAAAGGCAGGATTGTTACTTTCTCAGTAAATATAAATACTCTGTTCACAGACGAGAGGCTGAGCTAGAAAAAGGGCTAATGGTATAGGACTGAAGGATGAGAAAAGGGTTTATGGGAATGTAGTAAGTTTACACCTTCTTTCTCCATGGTAGCAACCCACATGTTGAAGCTCTAGCTTGTTCCATTCTGCAGACTGACACTTGAGACATACATCCCTTTCTGCCCTCTTTGCTATTCTTCTATCATGCAGCCATGAATGCTATAAAGCATGAAAGTAACAAGGCTCAAGACTTTTCTACTCTGTAGCCTCTAAAAGGTGATTAATACTTGATTAAAAGAGAATTATCTTTTTATTTGGTGTTTTAAAAGAAAAATTTAACTTTTATTCATCTGAAACTTCCATATCCTAGATACTCTAGCCTTCTTGAACTTTTAATTAGTAATTGAATATATTCCTGTAATGATTTTCTAACAATGTTGAAAAACATTAAGGGATATTTAGAAAATAAAATAGTGTTTATTAATGTGGTTACTTCTTTTCTCTGTTACCCATTTTTAAGTGTATGGGAAAATATAAAAAATTAATATGCTATCTGTCTACCACTCATAGCATATTAAAAATTTTATATGTTCTCATATGCTTAAAATGGGTAATGAAGAAAAGTATTCTTGCCTGGAAAATTCCATGGGCAGAGGGGCTGGTGAGCTATAGCTCATGACATGACAAAGAGTCAGACATGACTGAGCATGCATGTATCCACGCTACCACTAGAAATTATTTGTCAATTAGTGTCCTAACTTGTAGTAGGCAAGGTGCTTCTATCTATGCTATAGACCTAGAATTTCCACTCCTACTTTTACCTTGGGTAATACCAGAATACCTAGTAGGCAAGCTAAGCACTAATGTAGGTTTCCAGAAAAAAAAAAAATCTTTTTTTTAAGTATTATTTCACTAAATGACCAAAGGGAAAAAAATATCACTTATCAGGACTTGGCTATATTTACTGTGCATTTTATGCTATTTTTATTTTGAATTACACATAATTAGAGGCTATAAAGGAAACCGTCATCTTTTCAAAGGTTAAGCCCTTGAAAAATTTGATCAAGCCCTCAATTTAATGTTCTGTTAAACTCCTTCAGATTACAGTTAAGTTAAATGTTAGTCACTCAGTCGTGTCCAAGTCTTTGTGACCCCATGGACCATGGCATGCCAGACTGCTCTCTCCATGGAATTCTCCAGGCAAGAATACTGGAGTGGGTAGCTATTCCCTTCTCCAGGGAATCTTTGGAACCCAGGTCTCTTTCACTGCAGGAAGATCCTTTACCATGTGAACCACCAGGGAAGCCCAAAAGTGTTAGGTGCTAAAAGTGAGTTGTGTCTAAAAATGTTGTGTCTCACTTTTTGAGACCCCACAGACTGCAGTCCACCAGGCTTCTCTGTCCATGGAATTTTCCAGACAAGAATACTGGAGTGGATTGCTGTTCCCTCCTCCAGGGATCGAACCTGAGTAGAATACAGCTTACAGAGCACTCGTTTGAAAGTTACCTGGTGAGCGCAGGGTGACAGAGCCCAGAGCAGCCCTTCTGGTTTCTGTCCGCCTGTGCTCCGTCTGCTGGCACAGCACTTCTGCCGTCTTGTCTATGTTCCCACTGGTATTGCTCCATTATCAACTGCTGACTTCTTGGGTGTGGGCCATGCTTAAACTACCTGAGAGAAGTCTGAGTTTGCCCCTTTGATCTAGAATCCATCCTCCCTACAGGCCACTGGTCAACTAATTGGTCAGCTGCCTTTGGAGTAGGTGCCCTTGCCTGGTTTAGTCAGCTGTGTCTAGGCAGGTAATTTACCTGGTACTGATGCTGCAGTTATAAGGAACCTCTTGGAAAGAGCTTATATAGCAGATGCCCTGAAGCCTCCCACATTCTGGCAGTGAGATTAGGAGTCGTTGTTCTTAGCACTGCCCTTCAAAACCTCATTTTTGTTTAGACTATAGCTGCTCTCCTTGGTACTTGCTCTGACCTTACTCTCTAGGGAAGATTTTGTTTTTAATTGCAGAAATAACACAAGTTTGAAAAATGTAAAGTACTGTCATGAACAACCTTGCACACAGGCCTTCATACACTTGTGTGTTTATTCTCGTGGAATAGATACCTATAAAGTGGAAATAGTCAACACATGCTTTGCTGTTGCTGCTATTGTTACTTTTAGTTCAAATATATACAGCCAAATTCCCCTCTCAAGAGGTTTGTGTATTTTTATACTCTCACCAACACTGCATGAAATACCCTTTCAGAAGAAATTGGCTTAAATATCATGTCCAGAAACCAAAACACTGCATCACAAAGTTTGAAAAAGTTCTAGATGATCAAGTTATATTTAACATAATCAGTTCGCTGACAGTACAGTCCTTACAACTGTTCATTTAATGAACACTAGTGTAGACACTAGAGAGATGTAGTTGGGCAAAAGAGACAGTCTCTTCCTTTATGGAGCTTCCATTCTAGTGGTTGGAAGCTAATAATAAACAGACGAACATATCGCATAATGCAATGTCACAAGTCACAAGTGCTATGGAATAAAATATAGTAGGAAACGAAGTATAGACTGATGGTGGGAGTCTCATTGCTAGTTTAGGTAGAATGTTTACTGTAAAACTCTCTAAGGAGAAGGGATTTGAGCAGATATCTAAATTTAGGGAAAGAGGAGGAAGAGAGCCATTCTAGTGTCTGGGAAAGGACAGTTCAGACTAAAGGAATAAATAACAAATGCAAATCTGAGATGGATGCATGTTAGATGAGTTTACAAGATGTCAGCATGATGGATTTTCATGCAGGAAGAAAATGGATGTAGGAAATTAGATTTT